GTTTATTGTGCTACCCAGATGCTCTATTTCTAATTTGTCTCATAACAAATCAGAGAAGCAAACAAAAATCAAATCCTGGATTTATTATCAAGGTGGTTGGGAGAAAAAACAATAAGAAAGGCAACCATTGGGAAACAACACAGGAAAGCTATGAGGTTTAGTAGTTTCCACTGCAAGCAGACATGACAGAAGAACATGTCCTGACACATTGCTCTAACCAAAACGGCAAGGTGCTTGCGATATGTGGCTTACCATGCCCAACCACAGCCTTTGTGTTAAAGGTTTCAGCTACTTAGGAAACATGATGCTCAATTCTTTATTTGACCTTGGGTTCCTTTTTCATCAAAAGCAATTTGTATTTAGTGTGTGTAATATTTAACACTGTTTTTATCTTTTTACATCCGTTTGTTACCAATTGTGTGATTGGTGGATTCCTGTTTCTCTATCTGTGTCTGACATTTTATCCTGCTTTTCATGTGGGAGGCTCAGAGTACCATGCAGGACATCTTCCATCTCATTTTATCTTGCTTATTACTTCATCACACTAGAGAATGAATCCACTTTAAATCAGGTTTCTGCCTCCTGCAGAATTCTGAGGTTTGTAGTTTAGTGAGGATGTTATTTATGAAATTTATGAAATCAAGCTGAGAGATAATAAGTGGCCCATAGCCACTGAGTTTTAATGTTGGCAGATCTGACCAGTATTTTTCTTACTTTGACAAGCATACCTAGTACACATCACTGTGTATCACCAAAATTTTGAGTTGGTTGTTTTTTTTTATTGCTGCATTTAGATTCACTTGACTGTTTTAATATAGTCATAAGCCATTTTGGACACTGTTTACTTAAAAGCTGGGAGATAGATATTATGCACAAATGAAAAACTATGGAAGATGAAAACTTTATACCATGCTAAGCAACTTGTCATCAAAGATAGGATAATATTTGTCAAAAAATGGAAGATAAAAATAGTATATCTTAAGTGGAATGGAAGATTTTCCAGATATATTTATTTATTTATTTATTTATTTGTATGCTTATATACCGCAATATCTCAGCCTACAACGGCGACTCATTGCGGTTAACAGTACTTAAAAACAACAATAATCAAACAATTTAAAAGCATAAAAAACATATACAGTACACAGTATCGGGCCACCAATACCGACCAATGCATCTCTTAGTTAAAATCATAATCCGAATTCATCGTCAATAATTACCAGTCCTTGTCATCAACTTCATCGCACCGGATTACCCGAATGCTTGTTCAAACATCCATGTCTTAAGTTTTTTTCGAAATACCAACAGCGAGGGAGCTGATCTTATCTCTATAGGGAGGGCATTCCAAAGCCGAGGGGCCACCACAGAGAAGGCCCTGTCTCTCGTTCCCGCCAGCCGCACTTCTGAAGCCGGTGGGATAGAGAGCAGGGACTCTCCAGAAGATCTTAGGGTCCTGGTGGGCTGATAGGCTGAGATACGTTCGGATAGGTAAGTTGGGCCAGAACCATTTAGGGCTTTAAAGGCCAACGCCAGCACTTTGAATTGGGCCCGGTAGCAAATCGGCAGCCAGTGGAGCTGGTACAGCAGAGGAGTTGTATGCTCCCTGCGCCCTGCTCCTGTTAGTACCATGGCTGCCGCCCGTTGGACTAGTTGGAGCTTCCGAGCCGTCTTCAAAGGCAACCCCACGTAGAGAGCGTTGCAGTAGTCAAGGCGGGATGTAACCAGAGCGTGGACTACTGTGGCCAAGTCAGACTTCCCAAGGTACGGTCGCAGTTGGCGCACAAGTTTTAACTGTGCGAATGCTCCCCTGGTCACCGCCGAAACCTGGGGTTCCAGGCTCAGCGCTGAATCCAGGATCACACCCAAACTGCGAACCTGTGTCTTCAGGGGGAGTGCGACCCCTAACACAGGCTGTAACCCTATACCCTGTTCGGCCTCGACTGACCAGGAGTACCTCTGTCTTGTCTGGATTCAATTTCAATTTGTTCGCCCCATCCAGACCGTCACAGCGGCCAAGCACCGGTTCAGGACCTCGACAGCCTCCTTAGTAGCAGGTGGAAGGAAGGAGTGACAGAGTTGGACATCATCTGCGTACAGATGACACCGCACTCCGAAACTCCGGATGATCTCACCCAGCGGCTTCATGTATATGTTAAACAACATGGGGGACAGTATTGAACCCTGAGGAACCCCACAATACAAAGGTTGTGGGGTAGAACAGGAGTCCCCCAGTAACACCTTCTGAGACCGACCCTCGAGGAATGACCGGAGCCACTGCAGAGCAGTACCTCCGAGACCCATTTCCGCGAGGCGTCCCAGAAGGATACCGTGGTCGACGGTATCGAAGGCCGCTGAGAGGTCGAGTAGCACCAACAGGGACACACTCCCCCTGTCGAGCTCCCGACGGCAGATCATCCACTAAGGCGACCAAGGCTGTCTCGGTACCATGCCCCGGCCTAAAGCCAGACTGTGCCGGATCCAGATAATCCGTGTCTACCAAGACTGCCTGGAGTTGTGAGGCCACCACACGTTCCATGACTTTGCCCAAAAAGGGGAGATTGGAAACAGGCCGATAGTTGACGAATTGAGTGGGGTCCAGTGATGGTTTCTTCAACAGCGGTTTTATAACAGCTTGCTTTAAGCTGGCTGGAATTATGCCTTCCCGAAGGGAGGCATTAACCACCACCTTTACCCACTCGGCCAATCCCCCTCTGGCCTCCTTTAGAAGCCAGGATGGGCAGGGGTCTAGGATGCATGTGGTAGCTCTCATTCCTCCAAGCACCTTGTCCACATCCTCGGTTTGAACCAATTGAAATGAATCCATCAAAATTGGACAAGCAGATGCTCGTGTTACATCCTCAGAGACTGCCGTTAATATGGTGTCCAGTCCAGAGCGGATCAAAGCGACTTTGTCTGCAAAGAACTGAGCAAAGGCTTCACAGCGAGCTGCCGAGTCATCAGGGCTCCCATCCTGAATGGTGGGTTTTAACAGGCCTCTGACAACTCGAAACAGTTCGGCCGGACGGTTCTTTGCAGACGCAATAGTGGCCGTAAAGAAAGTTTTCTTTGCGGCTTTTATTGCCGCGGCGTATGACCTTAAAAAGGACACAAACCGTGTTCGGTTTGGCTCGCTCGGATCCGAACGCCACACGCCCTCTAGTTCCCTCTTCTTTCGCTTCAACGCTGCCAGCTCCTCAGTAAACCAAGGGGCTGGTTTAGCTCGGCTACTTGAGAGGGGACGTTCTGGAGCGATCGTGTCTATTGCCCTAGTCATCTCCCCATTCCAGAGAGCGACCAGGGCATCAACAGGATCACCAACCGAGGTGGCGGGAAATTCCCCAAGAGCCATCAGGAATCCCTCCGGATCCATAAGCCTCCTGGGGCGGACCAATTTAATAGGTCCTCCACCTCTGCGGAGGTTAGGGGGTGCAGTAAGTCTAAAGCTGACCAGGTGGTGGTCGGTCCATGGCAACGGAGAGATGGATAACTCCTCAACACCGCCACCTTCCTCCCATCCCTGACAGAAAACCAAGTCCAATGTATGTCCAGCACTGTGGGTGGGGCCAGATACTTGTTGGGACAGCCCCATGGTTGCCATGGTAGACATGAAGTCCTGAGCCGCTCCCGTTAGGGCAGCCTCGGCGTGGACATTGAAGTCCCCCAGCACAAGCAGCCGTTGGGACTCCAATGCCAGGTCCGAGACCACCCCCGCTAGCTCAGGTAGGGAGACTGTAGTGCAGCGAGGTGGGCGGTACACTAGCAGAATCCCTAAATAGACAAAATTCTGGGGCATGACTAATATGAATAAGCTGTCATATTGGTATTTAGAGCTGGGACAGAAGATGTAAATCTGTAGTTTGAAGACCTATGGAGAGTTCCAGATATAACACACTGAAAGCTGGGATGATTCCTTCCTAAAGTATGATATTACACCAGATTTCGTCCTCCAGATGTTTTGGACTTCAACTCTCAGAAATCCCAGCCAGCTTACCAGCTGTTAGGAACTATGGGAGCTGAAGTCCAAAACACCTGGAGGACCAAAGGTTGGGAACCACTGTATTACACAAATGAGACATGGCCTCAACAATTTCCTTCTTTCTTCTCTGGCTTTGATATGGCTGCAAGAAGATTGGAGTATATAATTTCCATTTTTAACCAAACACATGTTAGTGTAGGCCACAGAACAATGGATTCAAACTACAGGAAAAGAGATTCCATCTACACACTGGGAAGAATTTCTGATGATCGAACTGTTGGAAAGTAGAATGCAACTGTTGTCTGAGATTATAGTGGTGTCTCCTTCTCTGGAGATTTATAAACAGTTGGTGGATGGTCATCTGTTGGGAGTGCTTTGATTGTGTATTCCTGCGTTGCAGGAGGTTGGATGGCCCTAGGGGTCTCTTCCAACTCTATGGATCTGGTTTTAATTATACACAAATTTATTCGCATGTAGAACAGAATGAACTTGAAGTTTTAAAAACTCAAAATGTGTCATAAATTAAAAATTGATGGCATTGTCCATCCAAACACAGTGCTGTGTTTGGAACTATGAACCACATTGAACTACTGTATCTTTACACTGAATTAGGAATCAGCCAATACTAGAAGTTTCTGGTGCTAAGAGGAAACTTGTTTGTTCAGTTTTAGTATCAGTTGAGTTCACCTGGTCTCATACAGCCAAAGGACCACATGATACCAGGTAAAGACTTGGTGTAAAATTAGGCATTTGATACTTTCCAGTTCTCCCAAAATTTTATGGGATCTTGCCAACAGAAACCTAGAAACTTATGACAGCATGAAAATGTTTCCTATGTGAAAGATGAGCAAAAGAATTCCAGCTTCTTGGCTGCAGAACCTCCCTTGGCTTGTCCACAAAACTAAAAGCAGCATATTTATGGGAGTCCTGCCATAACAAATACCAGGACTCCTCTAGGGCAAATGAACATTTTCACAGCAGAATCAACCTTGTAAGATACACCACACCCTTTATTAATCATTACCTGTGGATTATCTGCATTCAGGTTCCCGTCTGCCCACACGTCAGCGACATCTGAGTTTATCATGGTTGGTTTAACGGCAATTGTTGGCTTTGAATAAGGAAAGGAAATTATGCCGTCACCCTCCAGAGGCGTACTCTCGCCTTTGGCTCTGGTTCCATTCAGATTCTGATTGAGACCGCAGCTACCTGCCAGGTCAAGAGGCGTCAGCGGCGTCGATGTTGGCAGTTGGTGGAAGTTTCTGGGGCAGAAGCAGTTCTTGCAGGAGCCAGGCTTCCAGATGTGTTCCACAAAATCACTGCACGCGGACATTTTCAAGCCCCCTTGCTTCACTTCGATGGCCCTCTGCATCTTGTATATTGAGCTTCGTTGTTCATTTTTCTCTGCTCCACTCTCTTGGCTGGCCTTAAAATGTTGGCTCGTCCTATAATCCAGTTATCTGGAAAGAAAGAATATGGCACTGCCATAAATGATGCTGCACTCTTCAATCTTTTGAACACTTACCAAACTTCATTGATTTCCTAGAACCCAACCCTTGTTTTTACTAAATGCAAGACAAAGTCTCCTCAGTTGGCATTTCCCATGAGTGTATACTGATTTTTCCCATAACAAGCAAATCATATTTATTTATTTACTTACAGTATTTCTATACCGCTTTTATCACCCCTGGGAGGGGGGGGGGGACTCAAAGCAGTTTACATAGGCAATCAACACAAAATAATTTGCAAGCACCAATGCTCATGGGCCAGAAATTTCCAAACCATTCCAGGCACCCAGACGGGATATACAGGTGGGTGTTTAAGGAAGAAAGTTAATTAATTGTCTACACCAGTAGTTTTCAACCTGTGGGTCCCCAGATGTTTTGGCCTTCAACTCCCAGAAATCCTAGCAGCTGGGATTTCTGGAAGTTGTAGACCAAAACACCTGGGGATCCACAGGCTGAGAACCACTGGTCTACTCTATCATGGTTAAGGATATTGAGGAGCAGGCCTGCAGCCAGGAAAGGGGGGGATTAAGGGTTCAACCCTCCCCTCCTAAAATGTTTCAGGTAAAAAAAAAACCCGGTTTACTCATGAATTTTAACTGGTCAACCAATTCATGAGTAAACCAGTTTTTATTTTTAACCTGAAACATTGTGGGGGAGAGGGGGTTAACACTTAACCCTCCCTCTGGCTACAGGTCTGTTGGGGAGAGCTTTTTAAATTATTATTTATTTATTTATCCTTATCCTGCCTTTTCCCCACAGGAACTCAAATCAGCTAACAGAAGGCCCATTCAGACAGACTGTGTTGGTTTTACCATACGTGTCCAAATGATGTCTCCGGTTTCCCTTCCCTGTTTTCTTCCGAATTAATTAATTAGGTAAGATCTGGGTTTTACCAGGTGTGGGCCTTGTCTTACCAGGTATGGGCCCGCACAGCCTTCTCGGTCTCTTGGGTTCCAGGAGCCTGAAAAACCGAAAGGGATGCACCCGTCCGCCCAAAATTACCCCTTAAAATAAAAGAAAATTTACCTAGCTTCAAGGAGACCGTGGGGGGGGGGGCACAAGGGATTTTCCTCCTTGGCCCCCCTATGTCTCCTGGCACATCATTTATGGGGGAGCTTCAGGGTTGCTGCATGCCACCTCAATAGTAAACGGGATTTCTGATTTCCTTTTCTCTATTTTTCCTCCCTCCTTCCCTTCCTTTCCTAGTTTTCTTCCTTCCTTCTGTTTCCTACCTACTTACCAACCTTTCCTCCTTCTCTCCTCCTTTCTCTCTTTTTCTACTTTTCTTTCTTTCCTTCCTTCCTCTTTTTTTCGTACCTTTTTAATTCCTCTTTTTTCTACTTCTTTCTTTCGTGCTTCCCTCCTCCCTCCCCCTTTTCCCAACTTTTTTCTCTTTCTCTTTTTTTAACCTCTTCCTTCCCTCCCTCCCCCTTTTTCCTGCCTTTTTCTCTTTCTCTTTTTCAACCTCTTTCTTTCTTTCCTCCTTCCCTTTCTTTTTCCTACCTTTCTTTCTCTCTTTCCAGGTGCTCGGTGGGCTGCATGCGGCTCATGTGTTGCATGTTGTGCAGGTCTGATCTAATCTATCCCTTATCCTTGTAAACCCAGCTGAACTTTATCCTGAATGTTTGAATAAGGTTATAAACATGTGGAACTGCGGCTTATTTTAAGTTCATATATGGATAATAAGAAGAAGCCAGGATGAAACCAAGAAGGTGCACGGCATTATGTGGTGAGGTGGGGAGTCTCACAACCTGATGGGGATTTGAGCTGGATGTGTCTTGCCAGTGGAATTCTAGGAAACATGACAAGAATGAAATTGACAGCTTTTCACATCCCTACTCCATATCCATACTAATACAAGTATAAAAGACATTTACCACTTGAAAAAAACCTCCTAATTTCTTAGGTAGAGGGGGGCAGTTGGAGGATCTCAGAGTCCTATTTTTGGATCTTTCAAGCCGTGCACTGGCTGCATCCTCCCTTGCATTTTGATGAAACCAAGGGTGACTTTATCAAAGCAGCATAATTACATATCAAGGAATCTCCTGGAGGCACTATTTAAATGTTTTAATCCACTTTTTTTAAAAAAAAATGCTGATGTAGAATATTTAGGGAATCCGACATCTACACAACTCTGTAGGCAGCATGCAATTGGCAGCATCAGGCATGTAGCCGGGGGGGGGGGGGGGGGGGGCTTGAGGGGCTTCAGCCCCCTCCCCCCCAAATTCTCATGGTGGTTCGCGAAAAGGCCTTACTGGTGCATTATTTAAACTGTTATGTTTATTCATATCATGATCTGATCACCATACTCAATATATCCCATATGCATGGGGGTACTGGGGTAACGATACAAAAGGTTTGCTAGAGTAGACCCTCTTTCACTCAGACTCAGCCCCCCCCGAAACAAACTCAGCCCCCCCCCCTGAATCGAAATCCTGGCTACGGGCCTGGGCAGCATGAAGTACTCCCGCCCTCACTAGGAGTTCAATCTGCTCTGAAGAAGTCAAAGCTCTTTATTAACTTACATTACAATGGTTACTTAAAGCAGGGATGGGATGTGTACAGCCCTCCAGATGTTGTTGAACTATGTTTGCATGTTTTCCTCACCACTTGCTAAGATGACAGGAGCTGATGTGAGTTGCAGCTGAACAGCATATTGAGGGCCATATGATTCCTACTCCTGAATTAGAACAATGATACCAACAGCCTCATCCAGCCTTACCTAATTAGTACCCACACAATTGTTGTTTATCAGTGATGCATTTGTCATTGATGTTATTGTTGTTGTTTACCTTCAAATCGATCCCAACTTATGATAACACCATCAGAGAGATTTCTTGGTAAGATCCATTTAAAGAATATATATGTCCTATCAATTTGAGTTTAAAAGGTGTGATTTGCCCAGCGATTCAGCAACGTTTCACATAAAATATTTAAAGAAGTGGCATCCCACATACCCAATCTTCCCACAAAGCATTGACTTAACTTTTGAAGGAAGAACGTCACAGTATAAGGAAATAAGCAAAAACAATGACCTTATGTTGAGCACAGAAATATGAAAACAGTTATTTGATGTGCATTTTTATCTAAGATGAAATAATTTTGCATGGTTGAACAAAGATGTGACCCAAATTCAGCTAACCTTTAGAATTCCTACACTTCTGAATACATCTCAGAAAAAAAACTGCTTGCCAAAATTGCCTGTAGGTTAACATTGTGTATCAAAATGCTTGTAGCTGAATGTATACAAATTTTCATATATTTGGATCTCAATATTAGGGATAAAATGCTAACCTAGATTAAACTAAAACCGATATATTTGTATATCACAAGATGGAATGACAGCAGTATGAAATACAAATAATGACTGACACATTTTATGGAAGGGAAATCACATTACACAGTGTTTCTGGCCCTTCTAATCTTTAGTAATTCTTCTCCCAGATTAAATTTTCAAAGAAAACAAAGCCAACGTACAGGATACTGGACTTGTCTGTCTTCATCTATTTTTCTACTCTCTCTTTTCATATTTCTGTGCACCTATCACATCCCTCCTATTTCAGTGTTTCCTCCACTGTCAAAACTCAGACTATGTATTGCCGAAGGCTTTCATGGTTGGAATCACTGGATTGTTGTAGGTTTTTGGGGCTGTATGGCCATGTTCTAGAAGCATTCTCTCCTGACGTTTCACCTGCATCTATGGCAGGCATCCTCAGAGGTTATGAGGCCTCACTATCTCTGAGGATGCCTGCCACAGATGCAGGTGAAATGTCAGGAGAGAATACTTCTAGAACATGGCCATACAGCCCCAAAAAACTACAACAACTGAAAACTCAGACTGTTAAGATCTGTGGAGCAGAGGATTGGCACTGAAAAATGGGGAAGATTTAAGCTGGTTCTTATGAGTTTCTATTGAGATCAACTGGATTTCAGAAGAAATGCTTAACATTATCAAGATCCTGCTGGAAGCATTCAGATTATTTTTAAATTCCACAATTTTGACCTTTAACAACAAACATCCGGAACATGCAAGACCTATTGTCAATCTGAAGATAAGCGCCATATATCTCGCCCACAGAAAATATTTCATTCTATTATCTGATCACACTGCTTTTGTAAATATAGAGGAAAAGTAAAGTGCATACAGGAATGGGTTGGGCTTCTGAAGAAATATTTTTTGCATGATTCAAACAAGTACTTGATATATTTCTGCTGCAAAAGAAGCATTTTTTCCCTAAAAGTCAAAGCATCCAGCAATAATCAGACAAATGATGGATGTACAACATATGCCACCATTTCCATTACAAACAATGCCTTTTGTCTCACCCTGGTCATTCCACAGATATATAAACCCCCTTTTTTCCCAGCTCCAGCAGACCTCACCTCTGAGGAAGCTTGCCATAGATGCAGGCGAAACGTCAGGAGAAATGCCTCTAGAACATGGCCATATAGCCCGAAAAAACCCACAAGAACTGAACAATGCTTGAGCTTGTATGTGTGCCTTCTGGTTGACTTATGGCAACCCCATAATGTATTTTCTTAGGCAAGGAATACTCGGAGGTGATTTGCCATTTCCTTCCTCTGAAATAACAGCTAGAGAACCTATTATTCATTGGTGGTCTTTCCTACATGGCTGAGAGGAAGCCACAGGGAGGAGGGAGCAAGCTTGTTTACTGCTTCCATGGAGATTAGGACAAGGAACAATGGCTTCAAACTACAAGAAAGGAGATTCCATCTGAACATGAGGAAGAACTTCCTGACTGTGAGAGCCGTTCAGCAGTGGAACTCTCTGCCCCGAAGTGTGGTGGAGGCTCCTTCTTTGGAAGCTTTTAAACAGAGGCTGGATGGCCATCTATCAGGGGTGATTTGAATGCAATATTCCTGCTTCTTGGCAGGGGGTTGGACTGGATGGCCCATGAGGTCTCTTCCAACTCTTTGATTCTATGGTTCTA